TGAATAACAGAAGACTCTTGATAGCAGCAGAATTTCATTTCGTACATTCAGCGGAGAAAGACAGTTAAAAACATCACAAGTTGCCACAAAACTCTGTCAGCTTCAGCTGTCAAAGTAAACCAGTTTCAAGATGCTGCATAAATTTTCCGCATGAACTCACCTGTCAAATTTTGACCAATCAGAGCGTAAAAATTGGACGTAGAGCGTGACCAACGCGTGACTTTGTTGAGAAAAGTCAAAAGCAACTGGCATGTCTTCCCTGCCTGTAAAAACTGGCTGAATTTCAGCTTCCGAGGTCAGTTTGAAATCAAAATTTTAATTGTGCGACACATATAAAACACAACATATTTCATATGAATTGAAAAAATTAAACTTGAGGCTGCGATCATTTGAAAACTAGTAACTTGTCAGCGGATAACTTCAAAAAGATACTCGACCTCGCTGGATCGACACCTGAGCCCGCGATACGGTCAGGTGATACTGGTCAGCGGATACCCTGTTTTGAAAGCTGTCAAGTGTCAATTGATCATAACATGGATGTACAATGTGTGCAATATCAGTCTTCCTTTGCTACCAAACTAGAAAGTGTGAGATTGAACATTGGTTCTCCTGTGGTGCGGACGGACGGGCGGGCTGCGGGCGGTGTACAGTCACGTGATTACCAAATTTTCTCGGATGAGTAGATTTACTTACCCATGGTGCTCCGCAGGCGCGCTTCGCGCGCCAGAGCTCCGCTATAAATTCTAAATTACACAATATATACACCCAATGCAAAAATGGCTGCCAGATTAACATTCTTTTGCTTAAATTAAAATTAGCCCAACTAGCCTCGCTTGAGATAAGGTATTCTTTTGAATTTTGTACTGGAGAACGAGGTTAGTTAGGCTTATTTAAATTCAGACAAAAGAATATTAATCTGGCAGCCATTTTTGCATTGGGTGTATAAGGCTATCATATTACCTTACCCAACATACTGTCACTATATGGCACTTTTGCAGGAAGTCAGGCAAGAGAAAATTAGAAAAGCTTCAGGAAAGAGCACTCCCTATTTTTTTCAATAGCTAGTAACTCTTGACTTCGAGAAGCTTAAGATAAAACAG